CCGGTCTGAATAGGATTAGGATATAATACAAAAGCTAAGTTAAACTTACCACAACAGTCCCCGCGGTTGAGAACTCGCACGGTTTCAATCGGCCAGTCTCCGCCGAGGTCCACTTCCCACCACGGGCTGATCTCAGGGTTGGTCAGGGTACACTGGTTATCCGGCACAGACGTTCCCTTCTCTCCGTCCACGGCTAGGCCCGCCGTATTGGACCCATCTGTAGCTGTGCTGCTTTGTGAGGCCGGTTTTCCAAGGGCAACGTTCTCCACTGTAAGGTAAATATAAATGTTTATAGGCCCGTTCGGGTAGCATCGACTACGAGAAAAGGGTTTTTTAAACAACCCAGCATCCTGGAAAATGTTTGAAAGATGTTCTGGATAAAAAGATTATTCTTATATTCTTATTCTTAGAAATTATTCTTATATATTTCCTTTTATACATACGAGTACATGCATACATACATACATACATACATACATACATACATACAGTTTTAACATAGACATTAAAAGAGTGTCATTCTGTACATTTTCGTCATAATTATTACTACGTATAGATTAAGAAATGCGATAAAAATTCGAAGTTATCTCCTTAACTTCTGACATGATACTTTTTTTAGTTTACCTGCACATGATGCATTAACATTTGCTGATTCTTTCCAAACACCATGTACCAGGGTGAAGAACTGTCCGGTGATTTCGTCCGCGTTAGAGTGGTCACTCTTCACGAACATGGTGTATCCATCTGTTGCACCCACGGTCTTCCCAACAACCCATCGGGCAGAATGACCATTACGGGCAGGGATGTGGTACAGGTACGAGTCGCTGGTGTCGCTTTTGTACACGGGACGCCCAGATGATGTCATGTTGGTCCGGGTGTAGGTTGTCATGAGAGAGGCGTGGCTTGGAGGATGATTGTTGGAGATGCTGACGACACGACACCCTAAGAACAAGGGAAACGAATCGTCAAGAACCGATATCAGATGATTTTGTGTAATCAGAATGAAAAGTCCTCAGAATCAGATTTTGTGTAATCAGAATGAAAAGTCCTCAGAATCAGATTTTGTGCTATCAGAATGAAAAGTCCTCAGTATCAGATTTTGTGTTATCAGAATGAAAAGTCCTCAGTATCAGATTTTGTGTAATCAGAATGAAAAGTCCTCAGTATCAGATTTTGTCTTATCAGAATGAAAAATTTGACTGGCTTTGGACACAAAAGACGAAATATCCCCCACTCTCTATCTCAATGTTTTACCAGGGTATAAACTCTGTCTGCTCGATATAAAAACAGGCATAGTTAAAGCATTTTATGATTTTCCTTCCCAATATCTGCGTACTAGAGAGTAAAAGATAAACAGAACTTACCCTCCAGCATTGGCACCTGCACCATACCCACGACAAGCAACAGAAGGAGTTGTAAACGTTTTACCATGATGGCTGTCATTATCACTGTGCAGAATCAAACAATTAAGCATAATTAATGGTTTGTTTTTTGTTTCGTATCGCCTAATGGCGTTTTCAATGATTTCTGGGGTGGGACCCCAAATAAAAGCCACTAACGTAAAAATCTACTCAGTCCAAATTACAACACACCTTACAAAATACGCTATGCAAATAACAAATTGATACAAAATTAAAGTGACTTAAATAACATACACGATACATAAAGTCATACTTCCAAGATAAGTGAAACAATATAGTAACCTTAACATCATATAACGTAGAACCAAGGTAGGACATGATAGAATGATCAGGATTGGGTGGCATTCGTAAATTAAACGTAAATACTTGTGGCCTTTGCTGTCACAACCCCAACGTATCAAATATCAAAACGGTAGCATGTCCACAACACTATATCACACACATGTACACCGTAGCAGTATCATATAAAGCCGCTAGATTACCAATTATTGATCTTGACCTTTGTTGTCCGAACCCTAACCTACCACTAAGATATCATGATGATACATGCACCACATCCTGAGTCTCAACCGTTTAAAAATCGCATACCTATATGTGGTGTACCTAACACTTCTCGATGAAGGTAACGAATTCTATGTAAACAATAACATCATTATTTGGCGAAGATATGGGGTCGTGTAACTCATTTTGACACAGAAAACAGTTTTTACCACCATATATAAAGGATCAGGTAGCCTTGCCATCAGCCTCTAGAGGCACACCAGGGGAAGGTGTGATATTAAATTTCATATTTGCAACAAGGGCTAAGAATTAACTCCTAAGTGGGCCTGTCCTAGTCTTCTCAGAAATCAGCAATGAGAGAAATAATAAGACCAATGTAACCGATATGTGCAATCTATATGTGATGTGTTTTGTATCTGTGTTATGTGTAAGATCCTACCAACGATTCTGCCTGAGTTAGAGGTCATGTACATGCTTCATTGAAGTGAAAAGACCACCATTGTGTCTTAGAGGTAACTTGATAGGTATGAATGGTAACTTAACCATCACACACACACCCGCCTGCATAATCTACTGTCTAGGTCTGACGAAAGAAAAGTGCAAAAGTGCCATGGAACTGTTTTATCTCTAGCTGGCGAAAATATCAAGTACGCATACAAACTCAACTTTCACAATCTGTATATCTTCTATACATCCCGGTAAAACATGGGTCTTTCTTACCTAAGTTTGGGCGCTGGTTTCTAAGAACAATATATAAGGTAGAGTTAAGTTACATCCCCACATTATAGTGAAGCATTTCCTTTACGGAGTATTTTATGCGTGACAATGCCAGGAACACCAGCTGAAATGGCATGAGAACCGCCAATTGAAGCTAAATAGAAAAAAAATAAACAGCACTAGGCAACATTCTTCTACTATTTCTTTCTTTATGAGGCGGACAAAAAATACCCGGCAATGCATGTACGAGTATGCAACAGCCCGCATTGTCGACCGAGCGGAATTTCAAATTCCTATAGGCAAAGTTGAACAAAAGAAAAATGAGCACCACAGAAACATACTTGGACAGTGCCTTTCCATGTGTTTTGTCCTTCCTCAAATACTAGCAGATCATGTACATGTACACCGTTGCAGTAGATATATAAAGTAAAAATTATAGAATATTAAGTAAAAATTGAATTTTCACAGGCTGTGATCTTATCTTCTATACATGTAAGCCCCGGAAAAGCTTTCTAATGCTTAGGTCACATTTCCAAACCGGGGCCCGGCCGGGCTTTTCTTGTAAACGAGAAATTAACAATTCATATCAAGAATATAAAGAAATAGTGCCCATGACTGTTATTAAGAACTTTTCTATGTTTTGTTGTCTTTTATATCATATAATTCGTTCCCCAAAGCTACCCGGCCGGGCCCCGTGTGGGAATTGTGACCTCAGCATTACCTACGTTTTCGCGCTGGTTTCTAATAACGTTATAATCAGTAGTATGCTTTAAGCCTAGGTCACAATTCAAGAAAGGGACCCGCTCGGCGCGTTTTTCGGCACTACCGAACGGGACCTGGACGGAGACTGGCGGGGTTCCCGACGGCTGTCGGCCTATTTTTGGCCCCGCGCGGTCACCGAATTGATTTTTAATTCAAACTTAAAATCGCTTCGGGTCCCGCGTCGGGCAAGGTACACCGAAGCGACGCCGTAACCTCACAGGACAAAGCCGTAACCTAGCCTCCGCGTCCCGCCAGGCGGCCGCACTGGCACTTGTCCAAGATTATGACGTCACGTGTAATGATCTGTGCTTTAACTGTTCAGAAGTCAAGAAGGTGGTTATAGAGGGTATTATGATGTTCTCGACATAGCTCCATCATCAGTGAATCGTAGTGACCATATCCGAGTCTGCGCATCAACCAGGGGCAAACCCATCATACCAGCCAGGGGCGTACCATGCAGGCTGGGACCCGCCAGGATCCTCCCTGGACCCCGCCAGGGACCCTGTAGTTGCCCGGTCGGAACGTAAGAGCCAGTCGGCACCCTACCGCATCCCGCACGGGTCAAGACGGGAGACTGACCGGGCACCGGAAAGGTTCCTAACAGAACCCGACCGTCAAAGGGACGACCAAAAGTTTTGTGAATTTTAAATAGAAGCCGCCTCAGTGCCCCGACAGGAAGCCGTGAAAGAATATTCAATTGTGACCCTGACAGCCGGCGCACGCTCGGCGTCATGACGCCTGCCGGCGTCTTCACCGAGAACATGCCGAACAGGCCTTTGAAATGTGACACCAGCTTTACGAGTATGCAGTCCGCGTTGTCGACCGAGCACTTAAAACTTGATATTCCTAGGCAAGGTTGAACAAAAGAAAAATGCGCACCATAGAAATACATGTGGAAAATCCATGGAAAAAATGGCGAAAACAAGAGCCGTGACATGTGTGGCTTTCTTAATCTTCTGTTTACGAAAACGCAACTTAAGACTTATTGATAAAGCTGCAGGTCTCGGATATATATACCGGGGTTCCTGTACATACTCTGTGTGCGAGTCCCGGACATTTTCGAGGGTGTTGTAGTCCAGAACCGTGCCTGGGGCAAATCTACGTTCTGGGACACGCGGGTCGAGAACCGTGCTTCACCGCGCACAGTTCTGGACATATAATAGAGGGCCTTATCCCGTAGAGTAGAACTGAGGCTCTTACCTTCTATTGATGTAAAGCAGGCACAGACGTTGTGGAGGAATTAAAGGAACCAAAAATTACTATAAAAAAAACTCCAGCACTGAGACCACGCACTGTTCAGAAACTCTGGCAGCTCAAGAGTGCTACAGTTTGTCTGCCAATTTAAAGCTCTGAAGACTACGGAAAGTCCCGTGAGTATGTAAGTAAACATATACGCTCGCACAATGCACCTGAAGTAAGCGGGGTGTTATGTTTCTCGCTACCTGCCAAAATAAACAATGAGACAATGTGGGTATTTCCAGTGACTTATGTGGTAACATGACGAAGGGGATTCCCTAGACTCACAAATCGCCACACATCAAAGGATTTTCAAAGCTGAGATAATATACCTACCAATAAGTTGCTAATGAACGACAGTAAAGAATACTTGAGACCTTGATTTGTGCCCAGCTATAATCTATGGCCAACAAGTGCGCACAATCTTGCCATAAACTTAATGACTTCTCTGTGACGCAGAACACTTCGAGTTTCTGATGTAATGCTTTCACATTCGGTGCGTCGTGAGCGACGTCTGTCGTAATGTCAAGCTATCACTGACGATTGAAAAAATTTGAAAATCCACTGATGTGTTAGCCAGAATGGCCCAGAAGGTCATCTACCGCTGAACTGATCCTGTCTACATATTACGAATACTACAAAAACACCGTTTTTCACCGTTGTAACAACAATTGTGAATCAGACCCCGTGGCCTGTCACATGTTCAGGACCTTCCCCTAACCTTGCTTCCAAACATCAGCCGACCAATGTTGACTTAAGTTTTGGAGCAGCCTGACAACTACTACCTTTCTATACGAATCATATAGAATTTAAGTTAAATTTGAGTGAAATTTAACCCCCCGTCACTGTTGAACTACTCCCTGAACTTTGTTACGTGTACGCTAAGATGGCTATCAATAGCATAAATGTGTTGAAAATACTCTGATACAATCTGAAGATCTATTGGCTTCTTAAATTATGCTGTCAACAAACAAACAAACAAACAAACAGACAGACACACATACACGTCGAAAGCAGAACCTTCTTGTCGAAGGTAATAAACGGCATCGAGAACATATGAGGGACCTCAGTCGCAACTACATATTATACATTTATATGCACATCTCACTCCTTATATTTCCCAAGTCATATATATAAGTATATATATGAATTATTACTGAATGTACTGAAACTCTTGTGGGAAAAAAGTACTGAAACTCTGGCGCTAAAAAAAACCGTGACAATGTGGCTTTCTGCATCTTATATTTACGAAAACTTAACCCTAAGACGTATTGATAAAGCTGCAGGTCCCGGATATACGCCGCCTGTACATGCCCTGTGTGCGAGTCCCGGACATTTTCGAGGGTGTTGTAGTCCATAACCGTGCCTGGGGCAAATCTACGTTCTAGGACACGCGGAGACTGTCCAGAACCGTGCCTAACCGCCCACAGTTCTGGACGCACAATAGAGTAGAACTGAGGCTCTTACCTTCTATTGATGTAAAGCAGGCACAGACGTTGAGGAGGAAAGGAAAAACCAAAAACTAGTAGAATAAAAACACTCCAGCACTGAGACCACGTACTGGTCAGAAACTCTGGCAGCTCAAGAGTGCTACTGTATTGTCTGCCAATTTAAAGCTCTGAAGACTACGGAAAGTCCCGTGAGTATGTAAGTAAACATATACGCTCGCACAATGCACCTGAAGTAAGCGGGGTGTTATGTTTCTCGCTACTTGCCAAAATAAACAATGAGACAATGTGGGTATTTCCAGTGACTTAAGCGGTACCATGACGAAGGGGATTCCCTAGACTCACAAATCGCCACACATCAAAGGATTTGCAAAGCTGAGGTAATATACCTACCAATAAGTTGCTAATAAATGAAGGTAAAGAATACCTTAAACCTTGATTTGTGCCCAGTGATTATCTATGGCCAACAAGTGCGTACAATCTTGCCATAAACTTAATGACTTCTCTGTGACGCAGAACACTTCGAGTTTCTGATGTAATGCTTTCACTTTCGGCGCGTCGTGAGCGATGTCCGTCGTAACGTCAAGCTCTCACTGACGATTGGAAAGATTTGAAAATCCACTGATGTGTTAGCCAGAATGGCCCAGGCGGCAATCCACCGCTGAACTGATCCTGTCTACATACAAATACTGCAAAAACACCGTGTTCCACCGTTGTAACAACAATTGTGAATAAAACCCCGTACCCTGCCACACGTTCAGGACCTTCCCGTAACCTTGCTTCCAAACATCAGCCGACCAATGTTGACTTAAGTTTTGGGGCAGCCTGACAACTTCTACCTTTCTATACGAATCATATAGAATTTAAGTTAAATTTGAGTGAAATGTAACCCCCGATTATGCCCCGGTCACTGTTGAACTACTCCCGAACAACAAGCCGTAGTACGGTACCTCCCGTAGCCTTAATTTTGTTACGTGTACGTTAAGGTGGCTATCAATAGCATAAATGTGTTGAAAATGCTCTGATACAATCTGAAGATCTATTGGCTTCTTGAATTATGGTGTCAACAAACAAACAGACACACATACACACCGAAAGCAGAACCTTCTTGTCGAAGGTAATAAACGGCATCGAGAACATATGAGGGACCTCAGACGCAAGTACATATTATACATTTATATGCACATCTCACTCCTTATATTTCCCAAGTCATATATATAAATATATATATGTATTATTACTGAATGTACTGAAACTCGTGTGGGAAAAAAAGATATTGAGATAACAAAACGGTATGGGTACTTTACCTGATGTTGGAATTATCGATGTATTATTGTGAGATTTACAGAACTCTTTCCTGCCAGATGCTTGAATGTTCTTGCGTTGATTTAGAGGTACAGCTATATTTCCACCGTTTTGTCAGACCAGGCGGACCAGTGCAAGCTTTATGACCTACTTCCTACCCAGCTCGTTCCTTGCTGGTTGCCCGGCACCGCTCGCCGGTCGGCTCTCGGTACCCGGTCACTCACTACCCACCTTTATATACTGTAACCTCGGAAAACGGATCACACAGCAAAACCTTCCACCCGGGAGTTCCCCAAAGTTTCGGTCCCCAGCGATGACTTGTAATTTCGGTCCAATGAAAGGTTTTGCAGGTTTCAAGGAGAGAAAAAAGTCCGTAGATTGTTGTTAGATTGTTGCAATTTAATCTGGACACCTTTTTCTGACGCTATCAATGCCAGTGTTTCACGAAGTATTAAAATTTTCTTCACCTGGGGAACTATTTTGCGGCGCAACGATCTTATTCACGAGTTTCACATTCCCATGATGCATTGCGCCTTGTGTGTGTGGGGGGGGGGGGGGAATTTCCCAATTTGCATGACGCAGAAACGTATCCTGTTGACGTTAAACAGCTTGTTTTTCTGCGTGTTTTGAGGTGTTGGGGCATTTTATACTCAACAATTCATTGACTTACTATGGGACAAATCTGACAACAAATAGGGAATGAAGTTTTAGTGTTCTTTATGACATGGAACATCTGGTTTGTAACGTTCTTTCAACTGATGTTTAACGCATCGTTTATATATAGAGACAACATGTCGTTAATACTATACCTACGTATACATACATACTTTGTTGATTAATCCAGATGTATATGGAATCTTAGATTTTTCCTTATAAGCTTGACTTATTATATCTGTAAAATGCTGAAAAGCTAAGGGGTCTACATGTCTTTTCCATCAAGGCGAGTTCAGTTTCTTTTCTGTGTAATTTTAAGTCAACTGCATCAATCTAACGTGAAATTCTACCGGCCATGCTCCTTAATGCATATATACGTATGGACGATTTTGAACAAAGCCTAAAGCATGGTTAGCTTGCCAGCCCTCTCAAGTTTATCGTCAATGCCACTCTATAGTCCCACATTCAGACCCGCGGTACCGTGACCAAGGGGATTTCCTGGACTCACAAATCGCCACACATCAAAGGACTCGCAAAACTGAGATGCCTGCCAATAACTTGCTGATAAACAATGGATATCCATTCCCGTTTGTAGAGCCACCAGGTCTCAGAGAACATTTGTGATCAGAGCTATAACTATCTGGAATACTCTCCCTAGCGAAACTAGAACAACCCGCTCCATCAGCTCCTTTAAAAACAAACTATGGACAATACTTGATAACTACTTGACGACAACTACTTAGTAAAACTGTACGAGTTCAATAGAATTGTATTAACAATGTATATTTAGTGCACAACGTAATCATAGTAAATGCACGACGTCTAGGCCAGATTTTATTGCAACATCTGTTATGTAATTATAGTATGTTAACCTGGCATATAAATGTAATTGTAGTAAACGCACGACGACTAGGCCGGATATCATAGCTTGTTAACGTTTGGCCGCAACATCTGTTATGTAATAGTATGTTTATCTGAAGTGTAACTGACACTGTTAACTGTTACCTGTTCCGAATTGTTTATGTTCTTGTTGTGAGGGCTAGCCCTTTATAATAGCCTCCGCATATCGCTAGTTGGGCAGTCCTGGCTGCATACATATGTATTATCAGCCTAATAAATCAAATCAAATCAAATCTTTCACCACATTATGCCGTCTTGTGGATGAAATGTAGGCAAAAGCAAAGACTTGACGTAAATATATTAACTGAGTGTATATAGTGTAAATAGCCACACTTAGTGTTCCTATTATGTGGTGAAGGTTAATACTTGACGATTTGTGTGTTCAGGTAATCCCCTAGGTCAGGTTCCAGCGGGTCTGAATGTGGTTTTAGGCTGACCTTGATGGTTTACATTGGAGGGCCGATAGCAAGGCTTTACGCTTGGTCAGTCAAAAATTTAAAAAAATCATTTGTATGTATTAACTTAAGGGGAAATGCCGGTATAATTCCACGTTAGTTGTGAGTAATTAACTTAGAAACACTCAGAAAAGGGACTGAGTACGCCTTGTGAGGAAAAGGCATGCAGACCCCATTTCCTGATTTGATCAACACCTCAGAGTAGAGCTACACGAAACGCAGCCCTACTTCACTTATTGACGCAGGATCGCTGCGCCACAAAATAGTCCCACAGTTGAGGAAATAACTATATTTCGTAAAACACTGAGTCATGGATATCCAGATTACATCGAAACAATATCAAAGAAACTTCCTATCATTTAAGCGTGTAGAAGTGATTTCTTTTGGCCAAAAGCACAGGTCATCGGTATAGGACTGAGACTTAGGGAAACCCCCAGGTGGAAGGTTTTACTGCGTGATCCGTTTTCCGAGGTTATATATATATCCATGGCACTTTGTCTGGCGGTTCGTTAGTAGTTGCATTTGGCAATTACTGTACTTTAACCTGAAGGAAGGTACAAGCGGTTGACAGGAAAGAGTTCTGCTCCATGCGATATTTCATGACAAGACTTCCATCCAGAAGGTAAAGTACCAAACGTTTGTTAGTTAAGCATTATCATTAATTTAGTCAACGTTTACGTATGTTAGTTCTATGTGCATGTCTGAATGTTTTGTTACGTAGTGCCGAACATCAGCATGGCTGCCTGGAGAGCCAACGAATTGTACCCGTCACAATCCCGATTGTATTAATAATTGTGCCTTCTTTACATGGCATTCATTTTCTACAAATTTAAAGTCTCAGCATTGATGCATACTTTGGGGAAAAACAGTTTATGTTTATCGAAGGAAAACATATCATTTAATATATTTTCATTTATCAAATTGAAACCAGATCGAGTGTGTAAACAGTATACCTGCCAAAATTACAGCCTATCGAAATATACACTTCTTTATGACAGGCCAATCGTGATTTGATATTCCACTACCTACTTTAGACACGGGGAGTAAAGGCCGACTGTCACCTCCAAGTGGTGCTCCCTGGGTAACGCCAACGACAGCGGCAACTCCTGACTCTGGACCACGCTCAGCATGAGAAGGAGGAAGGTTAGGCGTAGGGCCAGCGACCCCACCCTGTAAAACAACACTTGCTACAGAAACAGAAGGAAGCATATCTAACCTACCTGGCGATGGGAACGATGCTACCCGAAGGGGTCGAATGACGACTGGGGACCAAAGTCGAGAGAACGTCTTCAGTCCGACTGCAGGAATCCTGTCACCAAAGAAGCTTATTCGTATAGGATGCTGGAACGTGAGAACTCTCTTCCAAACAGGGAAATTAGCCCAAGCAGTAAGAGAAATGAATGACTTTAACTTAGCCTTGCTAGGAGTAACAGAAGCTAGATGGACCAATACTGGGAAACAAACACTTAACACGGGTGAAGTGATAATATGGTCTGGCAGAACAGATAACCTACATCAAGAGGGGGTTGCTCTCATCATTAGCAAGAAGTACACCAATACACTACTACAATGGAAACCTGTCAACGAACGCCTGTTGTATGTGAGACTAAATTCAACATATGCAAAGTTGTCAGTAGTGGTGGCGTATGCACCTACCAATGACGCAGATGGAGAAGATAAGGATAAGTTCTACAGTGCCCTACAGGGGGTTCTAGAAGACATACCGAGACATGATGTAATGGTTCTAATGGGTGACTTTAACGCTAGAGTCGGGAACATCAACACAAAAAGAGAAAAACACATGGGGAATCATGGAATGGGCAGTATGACAGACAATGGAGAACGTTTGATTGACATATGTGAGGAGTATGATCTTGCTATAGGAGGAACACTTTTTGAACACAAGAATATTCATAAGTTAACATGGACATCTCCAGATGGGAAAACAGAAAGCCAAATCGACCACATTATGGTGAACAACAAATGGAAGCGATCTCTCCTAGACGTAAGAGTAATGAGAAGTGCTGACATAGGCAGCGATCACAAACTAGTAGTAGCAAAAATCAGCATCAAGCTAAGAAAGACAAAGATCGGCAGTCACAGAGAAAGACGCTTTGATGTAGACACACTCAAAGATCCAAAAGTAAAGAAAGATTTTAGCATCGCGTTGAAAAACCGCTTCTCTATTCTCGAGGATGAAGAGATAATGACGATCGATGGCTTTAACGAAGCCATGACACATGCTGCAAAAGAGACCATTGGGTACAAGAAAAACAACAAATCAAAATGGATCACAACAAACACATGGAGACTAATTGAAGAAAGAAAACAAACCAAAAAGAAGCTACTAAGCTCCAAATCACCAAGGCTCAAAGAAAGATACAACACACAATACAAAAAGAAAGACAAAGAAGTAAAAAGGCAGCAAGGAGAGACAAACGGAAGTTTATAGATAACCTCGCCAAACATGCTGAACAAGCGGCCCAGAAGAAAGATCTGAAAACTGTGTATAGTATAACAAGAAAGCTATGTGGTCACAACACCGCGAACCAGGACCAACCTGTACAAACTAGAGATGGGGTCACCATCACTGAGGAAAGAGCTAAACTAGAAAGGTGGAGGGAACATTTTAATGAAATTCTCAATCGACCACAGCCACAAACATTACCGAATATTACAGAGGCAGACACGGACCTAGATATTAATCTAAATGACATTACAGTCTTGGAAGTAAAAGATGCAATAAAGAAGGCAAAGAATGGAAAAGCTCCAGGAGAGGATGGGATAAGTGCGGAGATGCTCAAAGCAGAAGAACAGATAACTCCCAAAATTCTTAGAGATATTTTTCAGGAAATATGGAACACAGAAAAAATACCAGATAAATGGAAAACTGGTCTTATCTGCAAAATTCCAAAGAAAGGAAATCTACAGAACTGCAACAACTGGAGGGGTATAACATTGATATCACTTACCTGCAAGGTTTTCTGCCGCATCATCCTCAAACGCATCTCAGCAGCCGTTGATGCCATTATGAGAAAAGAGCAAGCGGGTTTTAGAAAAGGACGTTCGTGTAACGATCACATCTTTGTTTTAAGACAGATACTGGAACAGACACAAGAGTGGAACAGCCCGTTATACGTAGTCTTTGTCGATTTTGAGAAGGCTTTCGACAGTTTGCACCGCGAGTCATTATGGAAGATATTA